GGCTAACTAGGGGTGCTAGAAAGAATTTCTCTGCCAGGATTTAGGCCCTTTTGTTGTCTAATATAGTTAGCTTACCTTTCTTATTCTGTTATAGAGCAAGGATATAAGAGTTAGCGTATAGCTTTTCTGCTACTTGCCTGCTTTATTAAGAGAGCCTTTAAAGCTTATTATTCCTTTATTATTTCTTAGTATTAGTTAAGTTATTAATTAGGCGTTTCTAATTCGCTCTTAATATTTGCTACATCTCTTTCTTTAGCTCTTTAGAAGAACATCTAAAGCTATAAAGGTCTCTTTATTTGTAAGTAGCAGTATACTTACGTCTTATATACTTTGTATATACTAGTAATACGCTAGCTTTAGGGGACTAACTTAAGCGTGCCCTTAGGCTTAGTCTAGCATGCGTTTCATGAATGGCTTGCAACTACATGTTGAATGTCTGTCTAGCTTTATAAGTACAAATCACGTGCGTTTTATTAGTAATCCTTATAACACTTAAATATCCAGATTTATCCTGATAGGGATGTAGTCTTATAGTAAGGCCTAGCACTCTTCTAAACTATAGAAGGTTACTTGATTATTTAGCGCTTATAATACAAATGTTAGGTCAATTACTAAGCTGTAAGTACCTCTTCTCTAGATTGCCTTCCCCTTTAGGGTTAGTAGTCTAAGATTATAATAGTTAGCTTTGTTAAGCAGGTGATTTGTACCTTATTTGTATGTAGTATTAATACCTCCTTAAGCAGGGTAGTAGGTATTAAAGTCTCTTAGTAATAAGACCTTTTCCTTAGCCTTACTAAGGGCGTGGGCTATATGTCTCTATTTATATATACGTAGTCTGCTTACTCTTAGGTTATATATATTCAGAATTATTAGCTTGCTATTTTAAGTAGTTAGGATTAGACTTGCTATATTTAGGCTATATTACTTTCGCTTCTAGTTTATTATATTTACGTCTCGCCTTATTATAAAGTATACCCTAGTTTTAGAGCAGGCTTTATAGGCTAGTTTATAAGGCTTAAGGCAATAGATAGACTAAGTATATTTATTAAAGATCGCTCTTAAATTGTTAGGACTTAAGATTATATAAAGCTGTTAAAAAGGGTACAGCTCCCTTATGAGTTGCTATTGCCACAGTTGTATTAGACGACTAAGAGTCTATAGCTCATCTAGGCTTAGGTTAATGTTGCTCGCCCTTATAATTATTATGCTTCTTGCCTATAATGCGAATGCGCTATTCTGATTAATAATGAGCCTCTGCTAAGAGGAGCTTCTTGCTGCCTGCTTGATGTAGGTGGGTTGTCCTATATAGCGTTAGTTATTATCTATATTAAAGAACTAGGCTCTTATCCTTTTGCAAGAGATTAGCGTCTACTTATTACCCTGTGCTTGTTAGCCTAGGGCTAGCTGTTTTGTTTTTGCGCTTATGCTATATATTGTAGCTATGCGTATGCTATACGCCTGTGCGTATAATGTAATTCGTCTGCGCTAGATACCTTTGTGGTACGATTAGTAGAACAGGCATGCCTGGCTCTGCTATGCCCTGTGCTGCTTGCTGCAGTTGGCATATAAGACTCTCTTAGTTATATACTCTAATGTAGCATGTTAACCCGTATATTGCGCGTAGCGTGCCTACTTCTTACATGTGTATTAAGTATGACCTTACTGCTAGCACTTAAAACATTATGTAATCTGAAGGGACTTTTCAAAAGGCCGCGTTTTAAATAGCTAGGCGTTTATAATTAGCTCTCTGTAAAGTATTATACGTTATATCTCTTCTGTCAAGAATCCTACTATCAGAGATCCCCTTATCTTAACGCGCTCTTTATATACGTCTTATAGGCGTTATATAGGCGTTCTATAAGAGTAGAGCCATCTAATTCTTATAATCTAGAGTCTTAAGGCGATGGATTTAGAGGCTTTATAAATAGCTTATGCTAAAAGCATATTATCTGCCTCCTTTCCTGCTATTACTAGCACTAATAAAGGTACCCTTAGTATCTTGACTTAGTAGTCCCTCCTGAAGATCTTGAAGTCCTTAGTAAAGAGGAGGGCCTGTGCCTTATCTCTTGCAGCTTCTGTTAGTAGAGATATATTAATGTCGCTACTATATAGTATCTAAACTGCTACTACTCCTAATATTATTTTCTTGACTTTTTTAAGTATTTCCTTATTTAATAACCCTTTTATTTAAGAGGCTTAGACTCTAACTATATAGTTAATAAGAGGGATCGCAAGCAAACTGCCTGTTAGCTATATTCTTATTATAGCGATGCTTGCCTAGGTCGCGCCTTAGGATTAGGGGTTAGGTATAGCCTTAAGGGAGATCTTTAGTAGCGCTTTAATGCGGTTAAGCCTTGCCTTGACCCCTTCCCCTGTGTTTCCTGTGCGTGTTCCCTGCGGTACGCGTTTAATAATCATACTGAGCTGCTTTATCAGCTCTCTTCCGCTTATTGCCACTTCGCTGTTGTTTTCCTCCTCTTTTTTAAGACCCTTAGTAATATCTATCAAGTCTTTCTTTATTTGTTTCTAATTAGTATAGCTTTTCCTTTCCTAGTGTTCTTCTTCTTCTCTGTTCGTCTGCCCCTTTTAGGAGCATGCTTAACGCGTGTAGGCTATACGTGTTTCGCTGCTATCTCCCTAGATAGCTATAGCTTCTCTCTGGCTCTATAAGCCTTATTCTTATTATTACTTACTTATTCGCTTCAGAAGATTTACTTTGTACTTGCTTAAGCCTCTTTATCTTTTATATTTTAAATTATTTATATAAGCTAAGAAATATTACCTTAAAATATTACAAAAAAGTAAAATATGCCTTATATTACTCTTTAGAAAGGATTAATTAAATACTAAAATAA